TTTTACACAGAAACCGTTTTACACACAGAGACTTTTACACACAGACGCTTTTACACACAGAAGCTTTTACACACAGACGTTTTTACACACAAAAGCTTTTACACACAGAAGCTTTTACACATAGACGCTTTTACACACAGACGCTTTTACACACAGGCGCTTTTACACACAGGCACTTTTACACACAGACACTTTTACACACAGGCGCTTTTACACACAGACAGTTTTACACACAGATGCTTTTACACACAGTTGCTTTTACACAGACGCTTTTACACACAACAGCTTTTACACACAACAGCTTTTACACACAGACGCTTTTACACAGAAACCGTTTTACACACAGAGACTTTTACACACAGACGCTTTTACACACAGAAGCTTTTACACGAAGACTTTTACACACAGACACTTTTGCACACAAAAGCTTTTACACACAGGAGCTTACACACAGACGCTTTTACACGCAATTTTTTTCCATACTTCGCCGGATAACATGGAAATCTTAATTTTACCTCAGTTTTTGGCGATCGAACCTCGTTTCGTGCGAAAGGGTTGCGCGGAACAAGTTGAAATCGCAATTTTACCTCAGTTTTTGATCGGTCGAACCTCATTTCGTGCGAAAGGGTTGCGCGGGACGACTTGGACATCGCAGTTTTACCTCAGTTTTTGGCGATCGAACCTCATTTCGTGCGAAAGGGTTGCGCCGGACACTTTGAAATCGCAATTTTACCTCAGTTTTTGGCGATCGAACCTCATTTCGTGCGAAAGAGTTGCGCCGGAACCTTTGACATCGCAATTTTACCTCAGTTTTTGGCGATCGATCGAACCTCATTTCGTGCGAAAGGGTTGCGTTTCGTGCCGTCTCGTTGGCACTGCCCCTGCTCCCGCTTTCAGAAGAGAAATAGAAAAGAAGGAGAGGGCAAGAGGGCAAGAGGACAAGAGGAGAAGATGTGAAGATGTGAGGGCAAGAGGGCAAGAGGGCAAGAAGGCAAGAGCAGAAGATGTGAAGATGTGAAAGATGTGAAGATGTGAGGATGAGAAGATGTGAAGATGAGCAGATGTGAAGATGTGAAGATGTGAAGATGAGAAGATGTGAAGATGTGAAGATGAGAAGATGTGAAGATGAGAAGATGTGAAGATGAGAAGATGTGAAGATGTGAGGATGTGAAGCTGAGAAGATGAGAAAATGTGAAGATGAGAAGATGTGAAAATGAGAAGATGTGAAGATGAGAAGATGTGAAGATGAGAATATGTGAAGATGAGAAGATGAGATAAAGATGTGAAGATGAGAAGATGAGAAGATGAGAAGATTAGATGAAGATGTGAAGATGAGAATATGTGAAGATGAGAAGATGAGATACAGACCCCCACTATTGGAAGAACCCTGCGCTCAGACGCTCTCGGGAAAAAAAAGTTACTTTCGCGAACTCAGAAAAAAAAACTTTCGCGGGGTGTCATGTTGGAACCCTGGCGGCATTGGCAATTAAAAACCCTTACATGAACGACTCCCATGCATCCATATCTATGTTTCGAGCGTAAACACTGTGGCAGGTGGAAACGACTCGGGACACTGAGGTGGCCGCAATGCCAAAGCTGCGGCTGCCTGACAAATTTTGATGCGATGCATCAAAACAAACAGAAAATTGACTGCAATCGCGGTGGCCGCTCTTTTTGTTGCACTGGGAGTGAGCTCACGCCGCCCCCTATATTTGCAAGCATGCAGAACACTCATCTCGACAGTTCTGACCTTTTCCCTGCGAACGTTTTGGATGTCTTGTGTACCCGTGACTCAGAGTTACTGGTCTGGCCGACCTCAGGGACCAGCTCTGGAATGAGTCAAAGCTCATCCTTCGGAAACCCACGCCAATCAACTCATTGCAATGTTTTCTGGCAACTGAGGGCCAAGCTGATACACTACTCCACCGTAGGTTGCCATGAGCGACTATTGCTTCAGGAAATGCGGTGCCTCAGCCCAGACAGAATGACCTTTTTGGGCAAGGAGCTTACTTTCAAAGGTTCCAACAAGTGTGCGAGCCAAGTACCAATGCAGATTGTCTACTGCTTTAGCGGCTGCCAACGTATTCATAGTGATCCCCCCGCTTTGGAACGCGACCGAGTATTAAATTAAAGAGTTATTCGCGAGGCCCTTCCCTCCAAAGTATCCAGTACATTCTAGAAACACCTGTTGTACGATCTTGTATGCAAGTCTTTCCGGCACTCTGCCGCGAAGTGGCCATTCAGGTCAGCAGGTCATAATATTCACGTCCCACTTTTGGGGCCGCAGCATTGCTACTAAGGTTCGTGATGCAAAATTAACCCATGAGCTCGGCCTTAAGCTCAGGCTAAGCTTCCGATGGTGTGGAACGATTTGATTAGCACGTGTCAGGCATATTGTTCAAGATTAACTTGACAGATGCACAATAACTTCAAAGCATCAGGACCACATCATGGTGACGCAAATGAAATCACAGAGAAGTGATCCTCGGACAGGCAGATTCTGCTGCTGCTGCACCCAAGTGTGCCAAAAGGACACCGCGGCAAGCGAACTCATGATCATCCCAGCGGGTGACCCATTCAACGAACTTTGGACTAATGCTGGTGTAGCCGTAGAAAGCACCAGCCAGCTGTCCAGTGATAGAGCCATGGCTATCAGCATCACCAAGCAAGTTCACTGACTTTACCACTGCCTCGTCAAATGTTGTTGTGTGGTAAAAGGCCCAAAGAGCCAGAGCCATGCCGTCCAGAGAGTAGGAACCAAAGTAGCCGGAAGAGACCGGATATCCATTGTATGTCCGACCACGTGCTCGCAAGGTGCCAGCAATATCAAGGTCAGAGGACTTCCAGTCCCAACATCTCTCAGTGGCGTTCACTGGCTTCGATCTCACCAGCCAGTTCATTTGGTCGTAACCCCAGCCAGACCTCTTCTCCAATCCAGACACTTTGAGGTATTCTTGAGTTGTTTTCTCCAAGAATTGTTTGGAACTCATCGAGCTTTCCGCACCCTTGCGCGTCAATGCCCTCATGATGAGAAAGGCCAAGAGTGAACATGCTTCTGCTGCAATGATGCCTGGGTGTGTCGTATAAGAACACAACCGTGCAAAGTGCAGCAGCTCATCCACTGGTGCACTATGGAAGTATATTGCGACAGGTGTGAAGCGCATGAGGCTGCCATTTCCAGCATCTTCGGTCGCTGCTTTGTAGGCCGGTGGCGGCAACTCTCCAGGCAAAAGGTGTGACAAATCTGTCAGCGATTTTGCAATGTTGCCTCCCAAACCCACTGAAGAGCTGCGGCTGGGGTCCTTGCGAAAGGCATTGTTGTAGCCTCTGTTCCACCAACACCAAAACCGAAGCCTCATGTCACTTCCATCAAAGTCACGTCTCAAAATCAGAGAGTCTGCCATGCAGAGGCCCATAGCAGCATCATCGGTCCACTGTCCTCGTTTCAGCTGAAAAGCATTGGATGCATCGATAAACTCGAAGCTGTTGGGGTCAAAGTGTGGTCCAACAGGCCGGTCTTGCACTGGCAAAAATTCAAAGGGATGACCCAAAGAGTCACCCACTGCCATGCCGAGCATTGAACCCATGGCACGATTTAGCAAGTCCTCTTTGATGCCCAGTTGCACTAGCTTCTCTTTCAGTGGAAGGGGAATTTCCTGGAAGATTGTATATTTGTTGAGGTCATCGAGTCGTCGATACAAGCTTCCACTGCGCCTTACTTGGACAATCTCCTTATCCTGCTCATATGGGACAATACCATCGAGCATGTAATTGATCAAGCCCATGAGCGTGCCATCTACTGTGAAACTGATGCCCTTCTCGTGATCACCTTTATCACTTTTCCCTTTCACTGCGATGCTTTCGACTTTCTCAGCTTTGGAGGCTACCCTTTCCGCTTCCGATCCTTCATTCCTCGGAGGAGTCCTGCTCCCACTTTCTCGCTTGGGAGACCCTACCAGGTGCTGAGCAGCGCGGGACAGCAAGCCCTCCGCGGAGTCACGTTTTGATGACATGAAGGGCATGTGGCACCAGCTGCCCTGCAGCACGAAGAATTGCACGAGATTGCAAGGTGGACCTGTTGCTTCAAGTCCAGCCCTGGATGGCAAAAGCGAGGTTGTGTGATACAATTTCAGACATGTGGATGTTTATCTGCGTGTCTCCGTGTTTTTGTGATGCATATATTATATGTATATGTATATATACTATAATATATAATATAATATATAATAATATACAATAATATATTTTAATATATATATGTGTGTGTGTGTGCATATGTATGTATGCAAGTCTGTATGAGTGTGCGTCTGCTGGATCCCCTATCTGAGGCATGTGTGTTTGGGTAGGTCGAGTGGCGTCCGTGTGCTTCATTATGCTTCTCTTTCGATTTTCTTGTCAAAGGATCTGTCTGCACGTTCGATCCTCTCGAGCCCGAGAATATTGGCGGCTAGCGTCAAATGATTGTAAAGCCCTTGGCTCAAAACCAACATACCAAAATCTTTCCTGGTCAGCTTCCGAAGAACCACCCAAACCCCAGGCCCGTTTGTATGATCCTGGTTCGCAACATGTGACGTTCGGATCCTGAAGGTGGTCAACAGCACCCACGCTCCCCAGCCAAAGGCCGGCTTTAGGAATAGGCCCATTCTGTGAATGGGGAGCTCTTTAAAACTGGCACTAGGTGATCAGATCCAGTCACCCCTACTGGACGTTTCTTGTCCAGGTGCAGCCCTGCAGATTACACGGCCTTGAAAGTGCGGTTGGAGCTCGATCTTCGATCTCCAACAAAGGCACTATAGCTACTATCTCTATATTGGTCGAACATCCCAAGGCATTCCATATCCAGACAACGCAGACAGACAACATGTCTTTGCCGAAGTGGATCAGTTACTCTGTGCTGCTGTGGGCTCACGTGAGAGGCACGCCCATCTGTGGGGCCATGATGGGCCGTCTGCACAAGGCACTTCCGTCAGGCATATATGGCATATATGGCATATTCACCTCACGAAATCGGATTTCCAGTACGAATATGGCGATGGTCGAAGAAAAAGGATTGAACCGATTGAACCTCAATAGCAAGAAGCCCTCAATCTTCATCCACTGACAACGAGCGATAGAGTCTGATTCGGACTCGCTTGTGGAGAAGTTCTTCCAGCTGCTCCCAACCTGACAAACACGGACAGGACAAGTTCCCAATTCGGATAAGCATCAAATTCGGAAAAGAAAGCAGGACTCAGAAGCCTCCCCCATTTCAGGAAGTTGATAGTTACTCAGGAGGAGCTTGCTTTTAGTGCAAGTGAGACTCCAAATCTCTTCTCGATCACCGGTCGCTTGTGGGGAGTTGCCACCACCAAGAAACGAGCCCGCCGTGCCAGTGAGCTCAGGGTGCAAGCAATCCAGGAGCGATCCTTGGCTGCCATGTGGAGCAAACCTGAGGTTCGAAATTGGTAAAGCCCAGCGGCTTTCTGACCCCGTGATCCTTCTTCTGAGATTCTAGGGGCTTTCAGAAGCAAGTATGGATTTCAGAGAGTCTTGCCCTTACACAGTTTGTGTAGCATGCGAGCATGAATCTGGTACATAAATTACATACTGTAAATGTAATCAAAAAGTTCGGAGATAGTCGTGGTGGCACCGATGGTGATGCCAGGAGTCTAGCAAGTGCAAGGCAAAGCTACAAAGAACGAGGTCATAGATTGGCTCCTACAGCGGTCTTCTGCACAGCTTTTGCAAAACGGACCCTACTGGGAAAAAAAAACATATGGGGCGATTAAGCTATACTTACCGTCTTACCACTGGCATTGATAGTAAGTGCGCCTGGTGTGGAATGTTTGTTTTTTGTTTTTCCCCCCCCGCACATGTGACAAGTCTTCTAAGAAAACTGCAAATAGATAGCGTCCTAAAAAAAACTAAAGCAACAGCATGCCGCCAACACGATTGCAGGGTTGCTCGGTGATTCGAGCAAGCGAAAGTTGTGCTTGGCCGGTGCATCCCGTTTCCGTCCAGTTTTTTTTTTTCACAAGCAGCATTGTCCTGCTCCATGATGCCCTCGGCAATATTTTCAAAGCTCCAACGATGGCAGCTGCGGCCCAAACGACGCTCAAACGCCTGCCAAGAAAATGTAGCTGACACTTGGCTGACCACGGCTTTATCAAAAAAAGGCTAGAAGAAAGCAACCCAAGCTGCGCGAAATTGGAAACCGGGCAGGGTTCGGTAGTTGGTCCATGTTGCTCCCACCTCAAAGGTGTACGGATCTGCTGCTTCCACCTCTGCCTCCAGGGCCTTTTTTTGCAGCCAGGCTTCCAGCGCAAGCGTGGCTTCGCCACTGCCACAGGCAAGGTCCAAGGACCGACGCAATGGCAGCTCTCGCGACCTCTGCCACTCATCCAGAGCCATCTGCAGTGCCTGGAGGCAAACTTGGGCATCGTGCATCAGTATCCCAGTATCCCATCGGTAAATGTGTATCCTATATATTCTCTTTAATCATATGGAATCGGACATGCACGTCAAACTATAACCATAGGTCCTTGGGTAGTTTGGTGTGGTTGTGTGGCCGCCTGGCCTTGTTGCCGCTGTTCCTATGTTTTCTGTCATGGTTGATTTATGCAGCTGCGCAGCTACGCACTACACTTGGTTCTAAGGTACGCTTTGCCAAAACCAGCCCTAACGCAGCACTATAGCATGGAGGAACAACAGGAACAATTTGGAAAAGCGCAATCCACCAGCAACAAAGCTTTTTGCTTGAGAAAGCCCGGTGCCTCTGACAGAACACCCTCATGCGGGTTCACATATGATGAACCTTTCAGTTCATAGAAGCCAGCAGCCCCAAGCTCTTCGTAAGCTCCTCGGACACTGTCATGACCAAAGGCCAAGGAAGCAACTTCGTTCCGAGAGGGCCCTTCCTGAGCATCCATCGCTACAAAATCACCAAGTCCATCTTTGTACCCACCGCACTTCGCGCCGTCTGTGTCCTGAGAAACTCCATGGCCCCACGCATTTAGCACTTCCAGGGAACCCACGGTCGAGTTTTGCGACAGAATGTCATCCACGGCCTCACACTTCTTTCGGTGTTGTGCTTTTGGCTTTTCCGGCTTTTCCGGCTCTTCCTTCACCGTCGCATCCACCACATCCGTCACCTTTGACACCTTCGTTGTTTTCGAGGTCGGCACTGCCTGATCTGCCTGGGCCTCAAACCTCTCATCTGCCCGGCGTTCCCACTCTTCCGTACGCTTCGGCTTTCGGGGCATCTCTTGAGCCCGTAGAGAATACTGCAAAGCATTGCGACTTGAGTCATGAGACAAATTCTTAGCAAAACATATCCTCAAACAAAGACTTTTGCAAATGAGAGCACGACGGTATGATACCTTTTCGTTTGTCCTCATCCAATCCTTCCAGTCACCGTGTTTTGAACATAGAAATTGCCGTTGCACTGTGTCTCGCTGGTCTTTGGACATCTTTGGACGGGCCATCTTGAGAAGCATGCGACATGCTTAATGACTAGCGGCCGACTAGTCTCCCCACGTGCTGACCTCCGTAACGCTGCAGTGAAAAGAATTGGTTCGGAAATTCATTGATGTCTTGCCCAAACCCCCCCATTATTCAGATCCAAGAATCCAAGATTCAATGTTCTTCCCACCTCAGTGCAAACCCCTTCCAATTATCTTGTCAGTTGATGATTGTACCTTCTCTCTTTGGGGGTTTCCCAACAAGGATGAATATGAAAAATTAAGTGGCAGCGTGATCAAACACTACAGTACCAGTTGCTCAAAATTATGGGTTTATTTGCTCAGCAATTATGTTCGACGGAGATGCAAGTCGTTCCGACAAATATTTTGACATGATTGCAGTCTGGTTCAACGAAATTCCGGCTGCACCATGTGTGGGTGGGTTTGGACTACTGACATGTGCCAAAAACAACGTGTTTGCGGTCCAATCAAAACATTGATGCATCATGTGCTTTCCTGTGGGTATTTGATGTGGTTTGGTGTCTGGTGTTCTGCCTCTTGGCAAATCTAAAGAAATTCCTTTCATCCCGGATTCCGTCAGGTGGCGCCAGGCTAGGCGGCCCGGCGGGCAAAGGGAAGCGGCCACGCAATTCCACAACACGCGGCAATGGTTGTAGAATGCTGCAAAATGCTGTAAATTTTAGATGATTGTAGATGATTGTAGTGTAGATGTGCTTCGGATTTGCGAGATACAATCTGTGCTCCGACATTTACAGCACTGAATGCACTTTAGCATGTCACAGAAATGTATGGATGCAAGCAGTGCAACGTGAGTATATATCTACATGTATGCACGTAAGTACGTACGTATGCATATAATATGTGTGTGTGTGTGTGCATGTGTGTGTATATGTATATATGAACATATGTATGTGTAAAGGTATGAACGTACGTGTCTGCATGTGTATGTATATGTATATAGTATGTGTATATGTATGTGCATGTGCATGTGTATGTGTATGTGTTTGTATGTTTGTATATGTGTGTGTGCATGTATGTGGACGCATGTCTGTGGACGCATGTGGATGTATGTGGATGTATGTAAGTGTAAGTACGTCTATGGTTATGTATGGTTATGTATGGTTATGTATGTTTATGTAGGTTACATATGCTGATGCAGGTTATGTATGGTTATGTATGGCTATGTATGTCTGTATGCATGCTGTAATGTATGCAATGTATGTAATGTATTTAGTTACCTATCTTTCTATGTATCCATGTATCTATGTATCTCTATGTCTCTATGTATCTATGTCTCTATGTCTCTATGTATCTATGTATCTAGGTATCTGTGTATCTATGTATGTGTATGTATGTGTATGTATGTGTATGTATGTGTATGTATGTGTATGTATGTGTTATGTGTATGTATGTATGGATGTATCACTTTTGTGCATATCCGTATATATATACATACATATTATATATAAATATACATATACATTTTTCCCTGACAAGAATATAAATATACATATACACTTTTCCTTGACAAGAACAAAGTTGGACCAAACAGGATGGAACATGGGATAAACACATACAGTAGGTATTTCAACCTGCTGTGCCATGAAGGTTTCAGGTGACACATTGCTTGCCCTGTCGCTCCTAGATTCGGGAGCCTCAGCAGCTACTGTTGCAAGAGCACACCCGTGCATGAGAAGATGCACAGGAACCGGGGACAAGTGACAAAACTAGTGCGGACCTGCGGCAGGCCACAAAGCTCCCCTGACCCAGGCCGTGCCTTCCACATCATGGCTGCATCCGCTCCACTTCGAGCCAGAAGCCACAAAATACAAAAAGGTCATTCGGACTTCAGTAATAGAAATTATACATTACATACATTTATATACACAATGCCATGTTCATCCTGCATTCTATAGTATTTGTGTATATTAATCATATTATGTATTTATATATATATATGTGTGTGTGTGAATATTACATGATACTTACTTGCTGCAACAGTTCCCAGTTCCCGCAGCAACAATAATGAACCAACAAGTCAAGCTTTAGCGCTACTTCCTGTGCTGTCTCCACACAAGACCGTGCTTGCCCAAAGCTGGATGACTGATGTCTGATATCACGATGCTGAGACAGTCAGATATCTCTTCACTCCAACTGTGCTGTCCCGCGAATGTTGCATTCAAACTGCTGCAAGCAAGCAAGCAAGCAAGCAAGCAAGCAAACAAACAAACAAACACACCAAGAATCAAAAGGTCTCATAACCTGTTTCCAAGCGCCCCACACGCAAAGGTGCAGTTTGCGACCTCAAACAGCTTTCATAATCACCAACTTCACGAACCAAGTCATCAGCCCTTGGGATCAAAGCTATCGCTAAGCCTAAGGAATGAATGCCATGCAACATGCGGTCCTACAAAGATGTGATCTTTGTGTCCAAGTCGGGTAAACAAAATGGAACTGTGTTCGCGGATTCAAACTAGATCCCGAACGTTCTGAAAGCAGGTGGCAGTGAGACAGCATGCAAGGCGGACATTTTTTGCGCTCCTTTCGGAAGAAGCTCTATTTGGTGAAAACCATCCAAAGCTGAGGAGTCTTCTGTCGGTCGGAAGAGTGCTTTCCAAATACCTGATCCAATATACCCTGGTAGAACGCAACATCACAGTATCGCACGTTGGATTTCAGGGCGCAACTACAAAGACACTTTATTCAAGCCCGGCTGTCTTCATTGTGACTAGAAGAACAAGGCCACGGTGCTAGTTGTCACACTGGTGACCTGGCAAAGCGGCTGCACTTTCAGCTAGGGAATCATCACAAGTCTCTTGTTTCCTCCTGTCCTGTCAATTTAAAAACTAAGAAAAGAAACTCAAAACCCACGATTTCTGCACTGCATTCAACCGCGACCCACAATTGCGTTAATATTTTAGAACACTTCAGATATATGTAATACTACCCGCCCACCCAGTTGTCACCAACGTGTGTTGCGCACTGCTCAAGTCAACTCCTTTGTATATATATATATTGATATTGATATTGATATTGATATTGATATTGATATTATATACATATATTGATATTGATGTTTTATATATATATATACATTTGTATTTTGTATGTTTGTTTGTATCTGTCTGGTCTGGTCTGGTCTGGTCTGGTCCTGGTCCTGGTCCTGGTCTGGTCTGGTCTGGTCTGGTCCGGTCTGGTCTGGTCTGTCTGTCTGCCTGTGGACATATACATATACATATAAATGTACTGAATCACGTGCAACGCATGCCTTCATGTTGATCCGTCCGAAGTATGGTTGGTCACCGGTCTGCTCGTGTCCCAGCTTGGCTTCGGTGAGACGAAAAGGAACAGAAGGTCCATCAGTTGGTTCAGGTTCTTCAGGCAGCTCCACTGGCTCCTCATGGCAGCCCGACATTATCCTAAAATCACAATAAACATCGACTCTGTGACATATCCACCCCTTCAGTCCGCAAGTTCCAAAGCTGTATGAGCTGTCATTCACTGCATAATTCGTTTGAAAAAGGCATTGATGCAACTGGACTTGACTTGTGAATCCGACGGTTTGACTTGGTGTAAAAACCACGGCTTTACAATCCTTGCCTCGAGATCATATAGGTGCAGCGTTGGCGTTGGTTGCTTTGGGCCCTTCTTTGGTGGGGGACCTGCACGCAGCACCCGCGCTTCGAGCCGGTCGAGCACAAAGGCGAACCTGACCAAGCTAACGAGAGCAGCGTCAAAAGCCTCAAACTATATTTCGACAGCCCCAGTATCAAAAGAATGTGTCAGGTGATCCCCCAAACTGGCATAGATTCTGACATGTGTGTTCCGAGAGGTGTGACATAATGACATATTATCTTACATATGATCTGACTTTCTTGAGGTCCAGCGCAGTAGACTGCCCTGCAACGACAGATATTCGAGTGAGGGCTGGTCACCAGGGATATGTATATATATGATTATATAATATACATACGACTATGAAACAAAAAATATTGCGATGAGATCTGGACTGAGTGAGCTCTGCGACAAGCGTGGGCGGAAGGGGAGGAGGTACTGCACGAGAACAGGAGGAAGGATGAGGAAGACACCTGGTCTTAAATCCACGGTAGAGACCCTCACACAGCAGGTGGGTAACAAACAATCTGATGTCAAATTTCACGGAGCGTTCCATTCAAAACCGGTGCTTTCGCACACCATTCAGTTGAAGCTGAACTGCCAAAAGTATGGTTTCAACGAACCGCAGATAAGCCGGCATTGTTGCATGCATCCTCTCACTGTGTTCTCTCTCCTCTCTCCTTCTCCCTCCCTCCTCCCTCCCCCCCTTCCTCGCTCTCTCCCTCCTTCCCCTCTATCGTCAATCTTTACCCCAGGGGCTACAGAAGTCAACATCCACAAGCAGACTTTGCCCCCAACCAGCCTCCCATTACACTGTCCAAAGCGATCATGTCCTGTTGCAGTTCCTGCGCTACTGCCGGGCATAGCTGCATGATCACCAAGCATTCGTGCTGAAGCTCGGGCTGGAGACCAGCCAACGGGAGGCAGACCCGTTCTGCCTTGCACATGCCGAAGATACCACGAATCTATCTATCTATCTATCTATCCATCCATCCATCCATCTGTCCATCTATCCATCTATCCATCTATCTATTTATCTAGCCAGATAGCTTGCTAGCTAACTATCTAGCTACGTAGCCATCTAGCTATATAGCTACCTAGCTATCTAGATGTCTACCCATCTACCTACGTAACCTAATCTAATTTACTAATCTACTAATCTTAGCTAATCTAATTTCGTCTCACCTCATCTCATCTCAACTACCTATCTATCATCTCTATCTTCTCTATCTTGTCCATATGATCATGCTGTCCATCTTTTCCAAATGATTCATCTTATCCATCTTATCCATCTCATCCATCCTATCCATCGTATCCACCTTTTCTACCCTTTTCTGTCTTATCCATCTTATTCATCTTATCCAACATATCCATCAAAACTATCATCTACCTTACCTATCGCATCTGTCCATCTTATCTTATTTTACGTATCCCAGTAGTGCCGCACAAGGCGGTGGCGGAAGTTTCAAAAATAGGAAACCTATATAGGAGAAGTTGGTTGTTGTGAATCACGCATGGCAGAGCGAATCCACTGATGGACCCAAAGGTGGTTGAAGTTGTGCTTTTTGGAGTGGCTGCAATGGTTGCAGTGGTCACCTCACCACAACTGCTGGATGTAGTGTGGTGTAGTGCAGTTGTAGTTGAAGTGTAGTGGAGCTGTAGTTGTAGTGTAGTGTAATTAGCGTAGCGTGGTGTAGTTGCAGTTGTAGTTGTAGCTGCGGTGAAGTGTAATTAGTGTAGTGTAGTGTAGTGTAGTGCAACGTAGTGGTGTTTCGCAGTTGCAGTTGCAAATGTAATGTAGCGTAACGTAACGTAATGTAATGTAATGTAATTAGTGTAGCGTAGTGTTGTGTAATGTAGTGTAGTTGTAGTTGCATCTGCATTTGTAGTTGCAGGGTGCTGCAGTGTAATTAGTTGTGGTTGTGGTAGTTCTAGTGCTAGTGGTAGTGCTAGTGCTACTGCTGGTGGTGGTGGTGGTGGTCGTCGTCGTAGTAGTAATAGTAGTAATAGTAGTAATAGTAGTAATAGTAGTAATAGTAGTAATAGTAGTAATAGTAGTAATAGTAGCAATAGTAGTAATAGTAGTAATAGTAGTAATAGTAGTAATAGGAGTAATAGTAGTAATAGGAGTAATAGTAGTAATAGGAGTAATAGTAGTAATAGTACTAATAGTACTCATAGTAGTAATAGTAGTGATAGTAGTAATAATAGTAATAGTAGTAATAGTAGTAATAGTAGTAATAGTAGTAATAGTAGTAATAGCAATAGTAGTAGTAGTAGTAGTAGTAGTAGGGGGAGTAGTAGTAGTAGTAGTAGTAGTAACAACTACTAGTACGGAGTAGTAACTACTAGTAGGCAGTAGGAACTACTAGTAGGCAGTAGGACCTACTAGTAGGTAGTAGCAACTACTAGTAGGTAGTAGTAACTCCTAGTAGGTACTAGCAACTACTAGGTGGTAGTAACGACACCTAGTAGGGAGCAGTAACTACTAGTAGGTAGTAGTAACTACTACTAGGTAGTAGTAACTACCAGTAGGTAGTAGTAACTACTAGTAGGTAGTAGTAACTACTAGTAGGTAGTAGTAAGGACTAGTAGGTAGTCGTATCTACTAGTAAGTAGTAGTAACTACTAGTAGGTAATAGTAACTACTAGTAGGTAGTAGTAAGTAGTAGTAAATAGTACTAGTTAGTAGGTGGTAGCAGAAGTAGTAGTAGCTGCAGTAGTAGTCGTACTACTGCTAGTAGTGCTAGTAGTACTAGCAGTACTAGTAGTACTAGTAGTACAAGTAGTACTGGTAGTACTAGTAGTACTAGTAGTACTAGTAGTACTAGTAGTAATACTAGTAGTAATAGTAGTAGTAGTAGTAATAAGAATAATAATAGTAATCGTGGTAGTACTGGTAATAGTTCCGTGTCATTCGTGCGGTGTAATTAGATGTAATTAGTGTAGTGTAGCGTAAATAGATGTAATTAGTGTAGTGTACTTAGTGTAGTGTAATGTAGCGTAGTAAATTTGCGTTTGTAGTTATAGTAGCAGTGTAGTGTAGTTGTAGTTGCAGTTGTCAAGCTATCGATCTGTCAATCTGCAAGCTTGAGAACGAAGCAAGTCTGCGAGACTTCCTCAAGTTTTGAACTTGACAACATCAAAAACGCAGCATTCTGCGAGACTTCCTTCAACTTTTGAAGTTGACAACATCAAAAACTAAGCAATTCTGCGAGACTTCCTCAATTTTTGAGCTTGACAACGTCAAAAACGAAACAATTATGCGAGACTTCCTTCAAAAATGGAAAGTTGAGTGCAGAGCTGACGGCCTCGTACCAATGCGTTTTGCGATTTTTTCACTCCATCTGTCTAAAGTGCTGCGCGTGCCACCGAAATGTCATGCAAAATCATCTTGGCACACCTGAAGATCTGACGCTCCAAAACGCAACCTTTCTCAGGAAATCTCCGCCCTGACCTCCTAACATCTCTGATGAACATGTCTCTTGTACTGCACCTGCCTCGCAAAATCCATCTTGCAGATCCTCTTCAAATGCCCCACGCCTGCCAACGCTTTTGAAACTGCTACAACACACCCTCACGTTTTGCTCACTTTTGGCAAGGTGCCGAATCCCTTGCGCATGCCACGCAAAACCACATCCTAACTTCCAAAAGCAGTCCGAGACCGTCAGTTTTTTACACTGTTCACTTCCACAATGTGCTTCGCGCCACAACGGTGTGCACTTTTTCGACATCTCAACTTCCAAAAGTGCTCCGAACCTGGTGTGTTTTCCGCATTTTGACTTCAAAGTGTGCTTCGTGCCACGACAGCGTGCAATTTTTTATCTCTCATCTCCCCAGACGGCTCCGCACTTTAGCGAGCCTACTTTTCGACTCTCGTGGAAAAACACAATGAGCCGCGACTTTGCTACTGCTTCCCGCACCTGCATCTTCTGTCTTCTGACTCTTTCTCTTCTCTGATCTTCTTTCTTCTTTTCTCTTCTCTGACTCTTCCCACCTCTGCTTTTGCATCTCTGCATATTGTCGGAAGTTTGACTTCTAAACTTCCTTCGGTTATCTATCTTATCTACCTTCTCTACCCTGAATATCTATCTTTCTATCTGTCTAGTCTATCTATCCATCTGTCTATCTATCTACCTATCTTTCTTTCTGTCTACCTATCTATGTATCTATCTATCCATCTATCTATCTATCTATCTTGTCTACCTTTTCTTGTCTAATCCAAACCCATCAAATCCAATCCAATCTTATCTATGAAACCATAAATTGAGATAGAGATCAATATTGAGATAGAGATGGAGAGATGGATATGTACACTTATTCAGCAGCTAGCAGCTACTAGAAGCTATTTAGAAGCTATTTTAGTAGCTGTTTAGCAATTATTCAGAAACTATTTAGATCTATTTAGCAGCTATTTAGCAACTACATAGCAGCTATTTAGCAACTATTTGGCAGCTATTTAGCGATTATTTAGCAGCAGCTATTTAGCAGCTGTTTAACAGCTATTTAGCAATTATTCAGAAACTATTTAGCAGCTATTTGGCAGCTATTTGGCAACTACTTGTGAGCTATGTAGTGGCTATTTAGCAGCTACTTAGCAGCTATTTAGTAACTATTCAGCAGCTCTCTCAAAGAAGTACTGCTTCCGCCCCGGGAGCTCCAGGATCTAAACCAAAATATTCTAAGTGCTAGCCTGCCACTACTGATATGACCGGAAGAAGTTTAGAAGTCAAACTTCCGACAATATGGATAGATGAAAAGCAGAGGTGGAGCAGAAGAATAGAGAACAGAAGAGCAAAAGAGATAAGGTCAGAAAAGAGAAAGAGTCAGAAGAAAGAAGATGCAGATGCGCGAAAAGGTAGGAAAGTCGCCAAACACTGTGTTTTTCCAATGATTTGTGGCTCCGGAGGGTCGAAAAGTAGGCTTGCTAAAGCGGCGGGTGCGGAGCCATCTGGCGAGATGAGAAATGAAAAATTGCACGCCGTTGTGGCGCGAAGCACGTTTCGAAGTCAAAATGTCCAAAGCACACCAGGTTCGGACCACTTTTGGAAGTTGAGATGTTGAAAAAAAGCACGCCGTTGTGGCGCGAAGCACATTGCCAAGTCAAAATGTACAAAACACACCAGGTCCGGACCACTTTTGGAAGTTGAGATGTCGAAAAAGTGCACGCCTTTGTGGCGCGAAGCACATTTGCAAGTGAAAAAGCTAGAAACACCTCACGTTCAGACAACTTTTGGAAGTTGAGATGTCGAAAAAGTGCACGCCATTGCGGCGCGAAGCACATTTCGAAGTCAAAATGTTGAAAACATCAGGGGCTCGGACCACTTTTCGACGTTCAGATGTCATTCCGCGTGGCAGGCGCAACGGATTGTGGACCTTGTCAAAAGTGAGCAAAACGTGAGGGTTTTGTAGCATTTCCAAAAACGATGGCAGGCGTGGGACATTTGAAGAAGATCTGCAAGAGATGCATTTTCCGTGGCAGGCGCAGTACAAGAGACATCTTCATCAGAGCTGTTAGGAGGTCCGGGCGCTGATTTCCTGAGAGGGGTTCCATTTTGGAGCCTCAGATCTCCAGGTTTGCTGAGATGATTTCGCGTGGCAGGTGCAGCACTTCGTATGACCTGGCATCACTTTTTCGTGGCAGGCGCAATACTTTAGACAGGTGGACTGGAAAAATCGCAAAACGCATTGGTACGAGGCCGTCAGCTCTGCACTCAACTTTCCATTTTTGAAGGATGTCTCGCAGAATTCTTTCGTTTTTGATGTTGTCAACTTCGAAAAATGAGGAAGTCTCGCAGAATTGCTTCGTTTTTTGACGTTATCAAGTTAAAGAATTGAGGAAGGCTCGCTGAATTGCTCTGCTTTTGATGTTGCCAAGTTCCAAAAATGAGGACATCTCGCAGAATAGCTTCGCTTTCAAGCTTGCAGATAGACAGATAGATAGACAAACAGACAGACAGACAGACAGAGATAGATAGATAGATAGATAGATAGATAGATATAGACAAACAACCAGACAGACAGATAGATTGGATTGGATTGGATTGGATTGGATTAGATTCGATAGATAGATAGATAGATAGATAGGTAGATAGGTAGATAAGATTAATTAGATAGATAGATAGATGGATAGATAGATACATACATACATAGATAGATAGATAGATAGATAGATAAATAGATAGATGGATGGATAGATAGACAGACAGATAGATAGATAGATCGATCGATAGATAGATAGATACATAGAAGATAGACCGGTAGGTGGGTAGATAGTCAGAGAAAGAGAGAGAGAGAAGAGAGGAGACCTCAAGCACCTTTCGGTCCATCAGTGGCTTCGCTATGCCATCCGTGATTCACAACAACCAACCTCTCCTATAGGTTTACTATTTTTGAAACTTCCGCCACCGCCTTTTGCGGTACTACTGCGATACATGTAAATTACAGATGTAGGTGTGGATCATATTGACCTTGATATTCAATGGTGTAGACATAGATCGTGTGCAAATATACAAAGATGATATATGATATATGTGTCTCTTGCCTATGAGTACACAAAGATGGAGAAAGAAGAAAAAAGAAGGTTCAAACAATAAAACAGGATGTACCTGTACCTGTCGATCTATGTGTCTGTTTGCTTACTTGTTTGCGTGTTTGTCGTAATTATCATATGTCGACGTTGCTTGGTTTCTATGTAAACAATGTATATAATATAAATAGATATATTATATATAAATATATACTATAATATATATATATATATATATTATATTAAATATATGTACTTTCATTCAATTGTTTGTGCTTGTGCTTGTGCTATATTATTATCTTGTAAATGATACCAGTAGTACCGCACAAGGCGGTGGCGGAAGTTTCAAAAATAGGAAACCTATAGGAGAGATTGGTTGTTGTGAATCAGGGATGGCAGAGCGAATCCACTGATGGACCGAAAGGTGCTTGAGGTCTCCTCTCTTCTCTCTCTCTCTTTCTCTGACTATCTACCCACCTACCAACCTATCTTCTATGTATCTATCTATCTATCTATCGATCGATCTATCTATCTATCTGTCTATCTGTCTATCTATATCTATATCTATATCTATATCTATATCTATATCTATCTATATCTATATCTATATCTCTATCTATCTATCTTATCTAATCTAATCTAATCTAATCGATCTATCTATCTATCTATCTAATCTATCTCTCTCTCTCTCTCTTTCATCTGTCTATCTGTCTGGCTGTCTACCTGTCTATCCATTCATCTACCTATCTATCTGTCTATCTGTCGACCTGTCTATCTGTGGTGCAGTGTCATTCAGTGTAAAGTAGTGTAGTGTAATGTAGTGTAATGTAGTGGAGTGCAGTGGAATGTAGTGTAGTGTAGTGTAGTGTAGTGTAATTTAGTGTAGTGGAGTGTACTGGAGTGTAGTTGCGCATTCGTAGCTGTAATTGTAGTGTAGTGGAGCGTAGTGTAGTGGAGCGTAGTGTAGTGTAATGTAGTGAAGTGTAGTGGAAGGTAGTGTAGTGTAGTGTAATGTAGTGTAGTGTAGTGGAGTGTAGTGTAGTGTAATGTAGTGTAGTGTAGTGTAATTTAGTGTAGTGGAGTGTATTATAGTGGAGTGTAGTTGTGTAGTTGTAGTTGTAGTGGAGTGTAGTGTAGTGTAATGTAGTGAAGTGTAGTGGGTGGTAGTGTAGTGTAGTGTAGTGTAGTGTAGTGTAGTGGAATGTAGTGTAGTGTAATGTAGTGTAGTGTAGTGTAGTGTGATTTAGTGTACTGGAGTGTAGTGGAGTGTAGTGGAGTGTAGTTGTGTAGTTGTAGTTGTAGTGTTGTGTAATGTAGTGTAGTGTAGTGTAGTGCAGTGCAGTGTAGTGGAATGTAGTGTAGTGTAATGCAGTGTAGCGAAGCGAAGCGACATCTGAACCTCCAAAAGTGGTCCGAAACCCTGGTGTTTTTAACATGTTGACTTCGAAATGTGCTTCGCGCCACAACGGCATGCACTTTTTCGACATCTGAACTTCCAAAAGTGGTCCGACAATGGTGTGTTTTGTACATTTTGACTTCGAAATGTGCTTCGCGCCACAAAGGCGTGCACTTTTTCGACATCTCAACTCTCAAAAGTGGTCCGAGGCTGAGGTGCTTTGTACATGTTGATTTCGACATGTGCTACGCGCCATAACGGAGTGCACTTTTTCAACATCTCAACTTCCAAAAGTGGTCCGACAATGGTGTGTTTTGTACATTTTGACTTCGAAATGTGCTTCGCGCCACAACGGCGTGCACTTTTTCAACATCTCAACTTCCAAAACTGGTCCGAACCTGGTGTGCTTTGGACATTTTGACTTCGAAACGTGCTTCGCGCCACAACGGCGTGCAATTTCTCATCTCTCATCTCGCCAGATGGCTCCGCACCCGCCGCTTTAGCCAGCCTATCGTTCGACCCTCCGGAGCCACAAATCATTGGAAAAACAAAGTGTTTGGCGACTTTCCTACCTTTTCGCGCATCTGCATCTTATTTCTTCTGACTCGTTTTCTTCTACTCTTCTCTCTTCTAATCTTTCTCCTATCTCTGCCTCTGCCCTGCTCTGCTCTTCATCTGTCCATACTGTCGGAAGTTTGACTTCTAAACTTCCTTCGATGATATATTCTTCTGTACATGGTCAATACTGCCTGTGGTTTGGGTTCAAAACCGTAGCCCCTTTTTCTTCAGTGAGCCCTGTTCCCAAAAAGTGTGCACTTGCCATGCGGTCCCTCAAGCACTTGCAAATACCCTCGTTGGATGGATTGCCTTGCAACATCTCCCGGCGACTCTCTGCCCCTAAAACCTTTGCATGGAGTAGTTCGAAGTCCAATTCATCCATCAGTGCTACCAGCCGCTACCACATACCCACATAGACATGACCGTTGCACGTCTTGGGCCCATCTGCAATTCGAAACCAGCTGTGCAAAATCTTGAAAACACCCCGACAATAAAATAACAAGAAGTCTTAACTTTACCAGCGTTACAGCGACAACACACACACAAAGCAGCAAAGACAAAAGGAGAAATGTGCTTATGTTTGACGACAATGAATGTAAGAAGTTGAAGCAATACAATTGAAATCCATTACCAGCAAATGGCAAATGCAAATCCCCCATGGTGGGTGCACAACGCCTGACAAAGGAAAAACTTGGTGCCTGGCTTTTGCACCAGTTTCCGGCCTTGAAACGGTCACGGAAGCCCACCAAATTGAATTTCATCAACGTCTCTAATTGGACATGCACATTTCTGACTGTCGCTAATATGACATGGCATGGAACATCGTGGAAGTGTCCAAAAATAACGCTAAACCACATTGCCTGCGTAGCATAAAAACATCAAGCAAAGCAGAAAGGTTTGTTTTTCAAATGAGAAAGTGAGTCCCAGGAAGGCGTTTTCCCCGCAAGACCATTTGAGTATTTGCAGTAAATGATCAAGCCCCGTGCTCCATCTTGCAGCAAGCAATGTGAAGATTGTGTTCCTCCCATTGAAATGGCTGACGTCCATACATGCACATTGTGCAAAGCCGTGCTGCATGCTAAACCACTTTGGAATGAACACTTGATGTCCTCGCCAACGGCTGGCCTCGAATGAAATTTCCTGCCCAATCCGCAAGCAGGAACACACAAATCACCGACTCGCATGGACCACCAAAATGAAACAAATGCGAACCACGCCTGTCTGCCCACTTGCCCTTCTCCTGGCGCTTCGCTCCCTGTCACATTCGCAACACCAAAACAGACCACGTAAACTGCTCTGTAATTTGTGATGCATGGGCTGCGTCACTGCTATGTTTCCTAAACCAAAATTTTGCCGCATTTTCTGCCCCGTATCGGACATTGATCCAACAACAAACCTCCGTTGATCGAAAAAATAATGTCTTGGCAGATTCCATTTAATGGGGTTGAAAAAAGGTTTCGAAACCACAATTGCGCGGTACCTCGCCGTGGTTTCGAAATTTAAGTTTCGCTGGCAGCATTAAGAAAATAACAATAAATGGAGCCTTGGAAAAGCAGCAGGCCGAGCGCGGATCACAGGATGGGCAAACCAGTCTACTTCCATGGCAGTTTTACTGCTGGCGCACGGACAAGTCTTGAAGAATATCATGGACAATTTCTTGTGCTGAACGTTGAACCTTCTAGTGGCCACATGTTTGTGCCTCACCCATAACTTTTGCCAACAACGTGCACGTGATGAATATCTTTAAATGTCAACACAAACTGACCACGCGTATGACCTGCCAAACGGGTTTGAATGGAAAATTTGCTGGGTGCCAACATGTGGTCCCAACAAAAGCAACGAAGAAAAGAAAACGTCTTTGGGTCAGGTTGCTATGACTCTATGACACTGGATGGTGCACACCACTTAAAATTACAGCAGTCGGCGTCATTTACCAATGCAGAATGCATCATTTTCTGTAGGTTGCCGCGTCAAAAATGCATATGCATGACATTGATGCATGCACAAAAGGTATGTGAGACTGTGACACGAATTTTGATTTTTGCCTACACAAATTTGAAAAGAATCGTTGACCACACCGTGCCCCCACACTTAAAAAAATGGACCCGAATTGGAAGATTCAATTCCATGCGATCAAAGCCCGATCATGACATGTCACCCAACACACTCATGGCGGCAGCTGCCGGTGCAACCTTTCTCCGAGACCGATGGCATGACCCTGAATGGGCAGTGATCGCATGACTGCAACTAGGAAACCTTTGACATTTGATGCCCGTAAGCGGAGGTTGTTCAGACAGCGCCCGCACCGTGACAGAGATGCTGCAATATGAACACTTCGGGTTGCCATCCATATTCCTACCCCTGTTTAGGGTCAAATTCACGAGGTTTGTCCAACATGCCTTTGTCCTGCGAAGCTTTGGTGAGTTACGCGTCCACATTCATCTGCCAAGGTGGAAGCAGCCAGAGCATCAAGAGACCAGCTTGTGAAGAACCGGGCCTGCTACTTTTTCCCGAATGCGTAGCGAAGGGTTCCCGTTTATAGTTGGGGGTCTGGGGGTTGACCTTTGTTCGCCGCCAGTTGGTCGGCGCGTCGTTTTTCGCGTCGTTTTCGCGTCGTTTTCGCGTCGTTTTCGCATCGTTTTTCGCGTCGTTTTTCGCGTCGTTAATTCGGTGTCTATAGGGGAAGCTGCAAAACCTCGTGCTTTTTGCTACGTGGACGTCGCCGTGTCTATACAGGAAGCTGCAAAACCTCGTATCTTTTGCTGGGTCGATGTCGCAGTGTCTTTTGGGGAAGCTGCAAGACCTCGTGCTTTTTGCTACGTGGACGTCGCCGTGTCTATAGGGGAAGCTGCAAAACTTCGTATCTTTTGCTGCGTTGATGTCGCCGTGTCTATAGGGGAAGCTGCAAAACCTCGTGTCTTTTGCTACGTGGATGTCGCTGTGTCTATAAGGGAAGCTGCAAAACCTCGTGTTTTTTGCTACGTGGATGTCGCCGTGTCTTTAGGGGAAGCTGCAAAACCTCGTGTCTTTTGCTGCGTGGATGTCGCCGTGATGTCGCCGTGTCTATAGGGGAAGCTGCAAATACTCGTGTCTTTTGCTACAAGGATGTCGCCGTGTCTATACGGAAAGCTGCAAAACATCGTGTCTTTTGCTACGTGGATGTCGCCGTGTCTATAGGGGAAGCTGCAAAACCTCGTGTCTTTTGCTACGTGGATGTTGCCGTGTCTATAGGGTAAGCTGCAAAACCTCGTGTCTTTGTGCGAGTTTTGTAGTGTTCGGTCGTACTGGAACGTGTTTGTGCGAGTTTTGTAGTATACGGTAGTATTGGGAATGACGTGCGGGGGAAAGGGGATGGAGTGAGAAAGGGAGCCCCCCTCCCTGAGGACTGGAAACGTGATTGCGTTCCTCTGCCATGGTTGTTCCTTCTTGTCAGGGTGCAAGCCTTTGTAGTGCACATATACTGGGAGGGAATGACTTTGTGTAAGTTTTGTAGTATACGGTAGTACTGGAACGTGCTTGTGCAAGCTTTGTAGTGCACAGTAATACTGGGAAGTGCTTTGTGCAAGCTTTGTAGTATACAGTAGTACTGGAACATGTTTGTGCAAGCTTTGTAGTACACAGTAGTACTGGGAAGTGCTTCGTGCAAGCTTTGTAGTACACAGTAGTACTGGGAAGTGCTTTGTGCAAGCTTTGTAGTACACAGTAGTATTGGAAAGTGTTTGTGCAAGCTTTGTAGTATACAGTAGTACTGGAAGCGACTTTGTGCAAGCTTTGTAGTACACAGTAGTACTGGGAGCGACATTGTGCAAGCTTTGTAGTACACAGTAGTACTGGAATGTGTTTGTGCAAGCGTTGTAGTACACAGCAGTACTGGGAAGGTTTTGTGCCAGCTTTGTAGTACACAGTAGTACTGGGAAGTGCTGTGTGCAAGCTTTGTAGTACACAGTAGTACTGGAACGTGTTTGTGCAAACTTTGTAGTACACAGTAGTACTGGAACGTGCTTGTGCAAGCTGTGTAGTGCACAGTAGTACTGGAACGTGTTTGTGCAAGCTTTGTAGTACACAGTAGTACTGGGAAAGTGATTTGTGAAAGAGTTGTTTTTTTTTTCCGTTTGTTTTTTTTTTTGTAAGTTTACACAGTAGTACTAGAACGTGTTTGTGCAAGCGTTGTAGTACACAGCAGTACTGGGAAGGTTTATTTGTGTTGAAAGATTTGTAGTAAAAGAGTACTGGAAGTGGTAGTGTGTGCAAGATGTTTTTTTTTTGTTTTTTTGTCTTTTTTGTAGTACACAGTAGTACTGGAACGTGTTTGTGCAAACTTTGTAGTACACAGTAGTACTGGAACGTGCTTGTGCAAGCTGTGTAGTGCACAGTAGTACTGGAACGTGTTTGTGCAAGCTTTGTAGTACACAGTAGTACTGGAACTTGTTTGTGCAAGCTTTGTAGTACACAGTAATACTGGGAAGTGCTTTGTGCAAGCTTTGTAGTACACAGTAGTACTAGAACGTGTTTGTGCAAGCGTTGTAGTACACAGCAGTACTGGGAAGGTTTTGTGCAAGCTTTGTAGTACACAGTAGTACTGGGAAGTGCTGTGTGCAAGCTTTGTAGTACACAGTAGTACTGGAACGTGTTTGTGCAAACTTTTTTCTTTTGCAGTACACAGTAGAGTAGACCGGGAAATGAGTGTGGAGGTAAGCGTTGTTTTTTGTTTTTTGTTAGGTCACAGTAGTACTTAGACACGTGTTTGTTTTTGTGCAAGCTTTGTAGTACACAGTACTGGGAAGAACTTTGTTGGGAATGTTTTGTGCAAGCTCTGTAGCACACAGTAGTACTGGAACGTGTTTGTGCAAGCTTTGTAGAACAAAGTAGTACTGGGAAGGTTTTGTGCAAGCTTTGTAGTACACAGTAGTACTGGGAAGTGCTGTGTGCAAGCTTTGTAGTACACAGTAGTAGTGGGAACATTTCGAAGTAATTTGTGCAAACTTTGTGTAAAGTAAGGAGTGTGGAGTGTAAAGTGTGGAGTGGGGAGTGTAGAATGCGTAATGTGTAGAGTGTGGAGTGTGGAGTGTGGAGTGTAGAGTGTAAAGTATAGAGTGTAAAGTGGAGAGTCGGGAGTGTAAAGTGTAGAGTGTGGAGAGTGAAGTGGAAAGTGTAGAGTGTGGAGGAGTGCGGAGTGCGGAATTGAAAGTAAGGAGTGTGGAGTGTAAAGTGTGGTGTGTGGAGTGTAAAGTGTGGAGTGTGGAGTGAGGAGAATGGTGTGTGTCGAGTGTAGAGTGTGGTGGAGTCTGTGGAGTCTGGAGTCTGGAGTGTGGAGTGTGGAGTGCAGTGTGTGGAGTGAGGAGTGAGGAGTTTGGAGTGTAAAGTGTTGAGTGTGGAGTCAGGAGTGTAAAGTGTGGAGTGTAAAGTGTGGAGTGTGGAGTGTGGAGTGGAAAGTGTCGAGTG